ATGCCTAAAGAAAAGTATTTGACAGATGCTGAAAAAATACAAGTTAATTTATATTGTAGCTCAGAAATCTCACCAGCACTTTCTATACGAAAAATAGTAAGAAAAATTGGAAGATCTGACCATATTGTACGAAACTAAATTGCAAAAGATGACAATTACGGTGTAAAAAAAACAACAAACGGCAACAAAGTATTAACAAATCGGCAAATTAATCGAATTCGCTTTAAAGCAACCAAAAATAAATTGAATTCAACACAAATAAAGGATAGATTATTATTGCCTGTTACCAATAAACATGTTGCACATATTCTACGTACCACACCAAAAGTAAAGTGGAAGAAACCACACCAAAAACAAATGTTAAAAAAACACCATAAAATTGCTAGATTACAGTTTGCTAAAAACCATATGGATTGGACTCATGAGTGGCAAAACATAATATTTTCAGATGAAAAAAAGTTCAATTTAGATGGTCCAGACTCTTAAAGTTGTTGTTTGCATGATCTAAGTGGAATAAATGACCCCCAAACAAAACGAAATTATGGTGGAGGAAGTTTAATGGTTTGGGGTGGATTTTCTTATTCGGGAAAATTGACTCTGTGTTGTGGTTTGCCTAAAATGAACTCAATAAAGTATACAAAAATATTGGGTTATGTTCTCATAACTTATATGGATGAAAACATGGGCGATAATGCCATATTTCAGTAAAGTTATGCTGCATTTCGCGCATCTAGGCATTCTATGAAATGGTTTAAAGACCACAACATCCCGGTTCTCGAATGGCCAGCTTGTAGCCCGGAATTAAATCCAATCAATAACGTGTAGGGAATGCTAGCAAGAAAAGTTTATGACGCTAAAGCAGCCGGACAACAATTTAAAACTGTTACTGAGTTAAAGTGTAAAATCTTTGAAGTATGATCCGAGTTGGATCAAACTACACCTCAACGACTAGTGGAGTCAATGAAAGGCAGAATTTTTGAGGTGGTCCAATGTAATAGAGGACATACGCATTACTAATTTCCATCTTTTAATGTCAAAAATATGACTGCGTCTATAGATATATTCCAATTAAAAAATGTACTTTTGTATATCAAACATACTCTCATATTAATAAAGACACATAGAAAAAACTTTGTGTGATTTTTATTAGCCCACAACACAACAATTATTTTGATAATAACTCGCATGCATATCAGTTGACAATTCATAGAAAAAAATTAAGGTAAAGAGAAAAAAATTGATGCGTCTTAACGAATATGCCTCAGTGTATATATATATATATATATATATATATATATATATATATATATATATATATATATATATATATATATATATATATGCACACACACCTGTGTGCATATATATATAGTGTTATTTGTTTTAATATTGATATTGTTCATTTAGGTCTTTACTGATTTACAAGAAGGTCTGTTGGAACAATATGTGACTAAAGCTTCTGATATTTATTATGGACTTCCTCATAAGGAAGTGAGGAAACTAGCTTATCAATATGGAAAAGCAAATAGCATAAAAATGCCTCATTATTGGAGTGCAAATGAAGCAGCTGGAGAAGACTGGTTTAGTGCTTACCTCAAAAGGCACAAAAAACTGTCAATAAGAAAACCTGAGGCAACAAGTCAAGCACGTGTTTCCAGTTTTAATCCAACAAATGTTCAAAAGTTTTACAACAATTTACAAACTATTCTTAATCGTTTAAAGTTGGAAAGTGGAGATATTTGGAATATGGATGAAACTGGTATTACCACAGTTCAAACTTCAGATCATATTGTAGCAAAAAAGGGTTTTAAACAAATTGAGTGTTTTACTTCGGCTGAGGGAGGCAATTTAGTAACTGTGGCAGTTGCTGTTTCTGCCAGTGGAAATTCAATTCCTCCATTTTTCATATTTCCTCGTGTTAAATTTAAAAGCTATTTTTTAAATGGTGCTCCTGATGGAAGCGCAGGCGCTGCAAACCCATCTGGTTGGATGACTGAAGTTCAATTTTTGCAGTTTTCCCATCATTTTGTCAAATATGCCAGAAGTACAAAAGAACGATATATCCTGTTTTGTCTCTCATCTTTCAGTAGAGGCTTTAGATTACTTTAAAGAAAATGGAGTATCGGTTTGTTCATTTCCTCCTCATTGCAGCCGTAAACTTCAACCTCTAGATCGAAGTGTATTTGGACCTTTTAAAAAATACACTAACACAGCTTGCGATGCGTGGATGACAATGCACCCTGGTTCCACAATGTTTATTTACAGTATACCAGGTATTGTGGGTAACTCATTTCCATTAGCATGTACCCCTAATAATATCAAGGCTGGTTTTGCAAAAACAGGAATTTACCCACTAAATGTTAACATTTTTGGTGAACACGATTTTATGCCAGCCTTTACCACAGATAGACCACCTCCAAAACAAGACTGTGCAGTGGAAAGTACAGCGCTAAATATAAGTAATGTAACAGATGTTGACTTTACAATATCTGAGAATGACATGTTAAATGCTGGTTACTCGAAAGATATAGAACCATGTCAAGATATTTCATATTCAAGCAGTAATGATGTACACAGTGCATCTACAGAGTCAACTGTAGTTCTATCGCCTGAAGATTTAAGACCATTCAAAAAAGCTGAACCAAGAAAAAAAGTTAGGGCTATAAAAGAAGTAGAACCACATCAATTTTAACAGATTCACTAAATATGAATGTTTTAAAAATAGAGAAAGAGTCAGCTAAAAAGAAAAAATTAGCAATTGAAGAGAGAAAACAAGCAAAAAAGTTAAATGAAGATAATATTAAGATGAGTAAAAGATCAAATAGTAAAGGAAGTTTACACTTAATGGAGAAAAGTTTGAATTGTCCAAATAGCTCTGTTGAAGAGGAGTGTTTTTGTTTGGTTTGTGTTGGAATGTTTTCTAAAAGTAAACTAGAGGAAGTTTGGGTTCAATGCACCCCAATGGGCTCACGAGTCATGTATAATCGGAAAATCTTTGTTTTTCATTTGCAATAATTGCTGCTAGCCGATTTGAAACTCCATTAGTTAAAAATATTCATGTAATAAAACAATATAAGTTTTAATTCTTATTGTATAACCATAAATTGTTACACTGTTTTGTTTTGTCACTGTATTTTTTAATTATATTTACTTTCTATTGCTTAAAATGTTACAATGACTTGATCCAAAAGTTTGATGATATTGATAAAAGTATATTTTAGCTATGATTTCTTTAAAGAAATGGGGCGGGTGGTAAATATATTATTGGAATACACTTAAATAAAACCTTTAACTTTAGCTTTTATTATTGCGAGTCAACTTACCCCTTGAGTATAAGCAACTTACTCCAGGGTGGGGTAAGTTGGCGCATTTTTTTTTTTTTTTTTTTTTTTTTGAGGGCCCAGAAAGGTCCCAAAATATTTTTTTTGTAAATGAATGCAACTTTTATAAGTTACCCAAATTCATACTCTTCGAAACTACACTTTTATATTTTCAAAAAAATGTTCCGTTAGGACTACAGAGCTCATAGAGTAAAAACCGAGTCAACTAGCCCCGGTCTCCCCTACTTTTTTCTAAGATCACAATTGATTTTTGGTAGAATAACTTTAGAAATTCTGCATACTTTGTTTTCTTCAGAATTTAATGGCCGAACTGTTGGGTTGTTTAAAAAAATATTCTGGTGATCTTTTAGTGAAAAAACAATTTTAGTCGTCATTTAATTCATTTCTGTTGAAAACATCACAATTAATTAAATAGTTTTTACTTTCAATATTTATGATATATTTATTAATGATAAATTCGCCTCTGTCGAGAGTATTTTTAAATAAAATTGTTTAAAAAAGTTTTTTAATGGCCAGTAGACTTTGAAGAAAATTTATTGGCCATAAAATTTTTTTTTAAACAAAATTTTTTGACACCTGATCGATGTAGCAATTTACAAATTATTCGAATTCTTTTATTTGGAATTGACATGATTATCAGCGTATTATGTCCAAACAAGAGCTTTAGAAGTTATAATTTGTTTTTGCTTTAGGTTTTTTATTATTTAAACTAATTATTTTTTTTTTATATATAATTTTCAAAACCAATTTACTAACCCTAAAAGTGAATCTAAAGAACCATTTTGATTTCTTTAGCAGGCCCGTAGCAACCGGGTGGGCAGCAGGGGTGTTTGCCTCCCCCGCCCCTTCCTTTTCCTCAATAATTTTTCAAATATATAATTTTGAAGAAATTGACTGAAAAAATGACTAAAAAATAAAGTCCTTAAAACTATTTCAACCCCCCGCCCCCCTCCTCCAATATAATTTTTGTTCCTATGGCCCTGTTTAGATCACTTTCGCTCATTGACGTTAACATAAATTTAGTTAAAATCATTTGAAAAAGTGCTATAACCCACATAAATCCTAGTTCTAATTGGTTCTGACGTATATTAACTAAATATAGTTGTCAAAATACAAATATTTCTATCAATTTTCACAAAATATACTAGAATTCTGAACAAGAAAGAGATTTAATAAAGAAAAATTGCCAATAAATGATTAGATTAAATCCTATTATTAAACTATGATTTCCCCTAAAAAGTGTATTTATCTAAAATCTTATTCAAATTTGCACAAGCAATTATGATTTTAAGGTGGTCCACCCCAATTAAAAATGTAATTTTTACATTTTTTTGAGTTTTTTTTTTAAATTTCAGACATTGTAGAACATAATTAGAGCACTTTTATTGGTTAAATTTATATATTAGTAGGTCTAATTTAACTTTTTAATAGGATAGATAGATTTTAGTTACCTAACAACGCCCTTAGTAACCGTTTTTTAAAGATAGTTTTATAAATAACACCTTAGGAATCAATAAATATATAAAAAAAATTAAACTGTTAGGTCCTACATGGGTTTTTGTTAACTTTTGGCTATATTTTAAAAGCCTACCACGCTGTTGCAATCATTATAAAGTGAAAACAGCATGACATACATTTGTATGGAAGCAGTACATACATTTAAAGTTTTATTTTAAATAGAAGTAAAAGTTTTAAGTTCTTTCACAAAAATACCAAGATCTACTAAATATATTAAAAGAAGAGTATTTCGAGGTAACCAACATGTTAAGAATAAAAGCCTTAATAGTGTTAACCAAAACTTTGTTGAAAAAAAAAAATGAAGTGCAAGTGAAAAAAAGTTGCAACAAAATATTGAGTTTAACGAGCTTGACGAGGATAACTACAATATTATAATAAGCTTTAAAGTTTTAAAAACAATGTTTAATGATTGTGTATGTAAAGAGTGTTGTTCGAATGAAGCAAAGCTGTTACTAAAGAACAATTTACAAAATAAAACTGGGTTCTCATACGAGTTACAGTTATCGTGTGATACATGTAAATTTATTTCAAATTATAATACATCTTTTCAATGTTATAATCAAATCTTAACCTCTCCTGGAAAACCTGTTGCAGCTGTAAACTTTAATGCCATTGTAGCTTTTAGAGAACTTGGCAAAGGTTATCAATCTTTGCGTACTTTTGCAGCATTCATGAATATGCCACCTCCTATGACACCCAAAAACTTTAACTATTTGACTAACAAATTATACAAAGCATGAGACTGTTGCTATTCAAAGTATTACTAAAGCTGCGTGTCAAACCAGAATGGCTCTTTGTGCTGATCATAATGAACCTATAAATTGCCAGGTATCTGTTGATGGTACATTGCAAAAGCGTGGGCATCAATCACTAAATGGTATTGTAACCATAATTTCAAAAGAGAATGGAAAGTGCTTAGAAGATAAATCATGTACGTGATGCTAATCATAAAAAATCATCTAAAGCGATGGAATCCTGTGGGGCTGTGATATTATTTTCTCGATTGTTAATAAAGAATAATTTAAGGTACACTTTATATATTGGGGATGGTGATACCTCTTCATTTTCTGATGTTGTTTCCTCAAAACCTTATGGCGATATAAATATTGAGAAGCTAGAATGTGTTGGTCACGTTCAAAAACGAATGGGAACTCGTCTTTGTAACGTGTGCCAAAGTCAATAAGGCAAAAAGTTTATTGATATTAAGCTTGGATATATATGTTGGTGAAAGGTCTTTAGAATTATCTTTAAATTCAGCTATTATTTTGTTTAATAATGGTTTTCAAGGAGTTTTAAAAGTGTTTGAAGTTTTAGATGTTAATACTGGGCGGTTTTTGAATGATGCCTCTAAATTACATGATGCATTACGCGTATCAAAAGGAAATCATAAATCCACCAATAAATGCAAAATTAGAAGGCAAAGATGGAGAGGAATTAAGAAAGGGTTCTTGGATAAAGAAGCAGAAGAAGAATCTGTTCCATTTTATGAATCTGGAGCTTTTTAAATAAAATTTTTGTTTTGTGATTTTCTCCATATTAGCTTTTTAGCGAATTAAATAAAGTTAAAAAAAGATATCTCCTGATTGGTTTATTCTTTTTCTTTAAAATTTTCCTAGTTTGTTCAAAATACATTGGAAGAGGACTGGTAGCAGAATATTTAATTTTGCTTTTTTTTAAGTTTGTTTTTTTGTCATCCAACAGTGAGGCCTTTGCGTTAAAAAAAGAACCATTATGGCAATGCCTGTAACTTTTTAAATATTCCAGTTAAATAGATAAAACTGCTAGGGTACTGAGTAAACATATTATTAGCTAAAATACCAAAAGACATTAAAAAAGGTTATTTACTTCCTGAGAAATCTTTTTTTTAAATAACACACTAAAACAGGTTAAAAGTTGAATAAATGAGGCAAATTATAGGATTTTTTTTTTTTTTAAATACTATTTTTTATTATAATACAACATAATTAGACTAATTTGAAAATTATAAACTCATTATTAAAGAAAATCATTTGAATTGGGGTGGACCACCTTAAGATGGTTTAAAAAAAAAAAAAAGTTGTCTAGCTTTTTTCGCTACAAACATTTGTATTTTATGATACAAATGTTTGTTGTTTCATGACTCTAAAAACAGTGCTATAAAGATGCGTGCGCACAATAAATCCAATTTTCTCAAAACCACATTTTAATTTACCGAGCATTTTGTGATGCTTCACCTAGTGTTTTGAGCGATTAAAAAAACTGTATAATAAATTTCATTGATTTCTTTTATATATATACCGTAAAAACCCCTAATTCTGGATGGTTTAGGACTTAAATTGTCATAACTAGCTCAATATAAAGAATTTTGAAATAATTTTTTAAATTAAATAAACTTTATAACAAGACAAATCAAACGATATAAAAAATATTATTTTTGCAATATAAATCTATCTTTTATTTTTAAAAAATATTGTTTTTATTCGGAATTAGGTGTTTATGTCCCTAATTCCGGATATTTTGAAACCCTATACAGGCTCAGAATAGGCAGAAATATGAGCAATCTGATTCGCTGATTTTGAAAGAGAGGCAAATGCGCTTTATTTAAAAATAAATTTTAAATCTAAACAGATTTTGAAATAAATTTCATAGTAATGATGAACTAAGTTTATCAATACAAGTCTTGTGTTACTATCAACATCTATTTGTAACAAAATCAATCTGTAACAAGATCTATTTGTAACAGAGAATTTTCACTCATAAAAATCTCAAAGTTTCAATAAAGTTCATCTTGGTGATGGAGGTTTTATCTGTTGTTAATTTAAAGAAATAGAAAAAAGTGTAATTCGAAAAGATC